CCTGCACAGGACTGGTTCTTGGTCACCTGATCCCTGCTCCCTGGTGTCCCAGCCCCATCCATCCTCCCCAGTCTCACTCCTGCTCTAAGACCAGACATAGCAACCAGGTCACATGGGTTGAGGGAGAAGCCCACATCACATGTCTGCCATTGCACTCTGCTCTTAGGTGGGGTCTAGGAGAGGGTCTGGAAAGGGGCAGGTTCATGCCCCATGCCATCTCAGGGAACAGCAAGGCTGTGGTCCTCCTTACCCAGAGCTGGCAGCAGCATGGCACATCCGGCAGCCAACTCAGCAGAGGCCCTTTGCCCTCCCTCAATCCAGATACTAAGAACACCCCACCCTGGAGGTTGCAGTCCCTTAGGATTCTCAGAGTGGAGGTTGCTGTGAATTGGGGGACAGATTCTTGGGAAGGGACGACTGACTTATTTAACACCAGCCAGAGTCCCACTTTATCAACTTGACCTAGGCTCCACAAATTATGTAGCTGGCCCTACTTAGAATCTTTCCCCTTAACCCAGCTTCTCTCCTTGTTCTGGATAAAGGTATCACACTTCCTCATGTCTCCTGTGTTTAGAATCTGAGTCATCATTGCCCTCCCTTCTTCCTTGCCCAAATCCATACCCACAGGCCACCTCCCATCTGTCTCCTGCACATCCCCACTGTTCCCGCTTGAGTTTAATTGTTCATCATGGCTCCACCAGACCATCACAGTAGGCTCCTAAGTATTTCCACAGCTTTAAGCCTCTCCTTGTTCAATCCATTCAGCTGCTGCCACCACGCCAACACTACTTTGATCATGCTCAGATGTTTTTAGTGTCTCCCTATGGCCTACTATTGGTGAAGTTCAAACTCTCTAGCTAAGTGTTCAATGTCCTTTCTTCTCTTGTTTTCACCTTACTTTTGCAAATAATTACATGACATATGCAGTATTTTGGCCATATTAAACCACTCACTCTCCCCTGTACATATTTTGTGCTTGGTCATCACTGTGTCTTTGCTGAAGCCATTCTGTTGGACTTGGATCACTCCTCCCTACCCCACAAACATCTCTAACTGGAAAAGCTAATCCTATTTAGAGCTCGAATGGCATCTCCTCCACTCCTCCATGAAGTCTTTCATCATGAGCCCAGTCACAAAGTGACTCCACACTCCTCCAAGACTAACATTATTTGGTTTGTATAGGTTGGTACTAGTTTTTGTGGATAATACGTGGCCCTCTACTCTACACCTTTGGGGAGCAGAAGCATATCCTGCCACCTTTGTATACCCAAAGGCCCTCTACCCAAAGCCTTGGGAATAATGGGCTGTCTTTGTGCATGTTTGCTAGAGCTAATGAATAAACGAAGCTGTTGCGTAAATAGATCAGGTCTTCTGAAAGGCAGGCACACCTGTAACCCTTCAGCGTCATCCCCTTTCCTCCTCTTAGTTCATCTAATAAAACATACTGCTGCTTTTCACATCCGAGCCCATCAAACACCTGCATTATCATTAACAACACTAACAAAAATTCACCTCACAATTTTTATGAATGTTTAAAGTGCTATATTCTGAATGCTTAGAATAATCTCAAAGAGAACACCTGTTACTTGAATGCTCTTATTTTCAACCTCTTGAGGGCAATTTTTTCATTACTATATTAAAGTGGGCTGTTAAATAACTTATAACTATCTGAGGGAAAGGTTAACTGCAGTCCCTGTGATCCAGACTGGATACCTAAAAGTGAATTTTTTTTCACTTGCAATTTACTTTTTTCCTAATTTCAACTCTGCCTTTTAGGACTAATTGAGAAAACTAATGAAAAATAATAAAATAAACTGAGGGGTTTGGGGCTGTCAGAACTTCTATTCAGTTTCAGCATTTTATTAAATATTCTACTCTTAACTCCAGAATGCCACACTTATTATCATAATTTTGTGTCTTCAATGCCTTTCCCTTGACCATCTTAGGAACCCCCAAGAGAATCATTAATATAATTATCAAATGATTGAATTTGGAGACTCTGTGTGATAAAAAAAATCTTACCTCCTGAAAAAAAAGTACGCTATCTGAAGCTGAGCAAGAAACACCTTAAACATATAGTAGTTAACAAAAAAATCAGGAAAGATGGTTTCATATTGACATAGAAACTTCAAGATGCTTGCATATATATGGTACAAATTTAAACATCCTGACAAAAGAATGTGCATTTTGGAAGGTTGCCAGTTTTCATTTAGAGAAATCTGTAATACCAGAAAATGGAAAGGATGGAGAAATGCTAGAACTGGGGAAGGAGGCAACATCCTTCCCTACAACAGCCTTATGAAAAGTTTATATTGCATGTGTTACTAAGAGGAACAAAATGTATAACTTTTGATGGGCTAGGATATGGTGTTACCAACCACATTTAGGAACATTTTAAGTAGAGAATGGAAGGATAGATATTTTTATGTTTCTTGAATGTAAAGCTTGTTCTAAAATATTTAATTTAAGGTGGAGCATGGAAAAGATGAGGCTGGTCAAAATGTGCCAACTTCAATCTCAGTTCCAGATAATGAGAAAAACAACTGAAAATAAAGTAAAGAGAAAGAAAAAGAACACAAACAAACTAGGTATCATTATTATCTTCATAAACTGTTACCATTTCCTGGGTAATTGCAATGTCCCAGGAATTATTTCAGGGTCTTGGACACAATATATCATTTTATTGAGATAAACAAAAATAATCTTTGCTAGGTAGGTATTATTGTCCCCATTTTATGGATGAGGAAATTGAGGCTGTGGGAGATAAAGAAATTTTCCCAACGTCACACCATTGATGACTGTGGTGTACCAAAATAAAGAAAAAAAAAGTAGCTTTATCAAAGAAGAGTAGCATAAGTAAAAGGAAGAAAACCACACCAAGTTAAAAATACAGAGATACATAAAAGAAGCAAATGGAAAAAGAAAAGAGAAACTTTCTAACCAGATAAAAACGGAAGCAAGTAAACCAAGGGTGAATTCCCCACCCATATAGTGCCATTCCCCTACCTGTCTTTTGCCAGTCCTCCCAACAACCCAGTCCCACTTTATGGTCATCATTACCATTCTAGGGGGAAAAGAAAAAATCTCCTCTTTCCCAATGTCAGCTTCCAAAAATATTAAAAGGCAATTTTGCTTTCCACTCTGCAGGGTAAGGGTAGAGTCCACAGGAAGCAGCAGCTGCTGAAAACCTGCTTTCCCCTGCCTGTGATGACACCTACAGCCACAATCCCAGACAGCAGCAAGACAAGTTAGCTGTTGAAGAGGCTGAGAATTATGCTCTTAAAGAAAGGACAGTATGAAATAAAAGTTAGGGCCTGAAAGAGGACAGTAAGAAATAAAAGCTATAGAAATGAAAGAAAATCAATTGGGGATGAATTTTTAAAATAAGGGCAATAAAGAGAAAAGGCTGCAAGCCCAGGCTAGAATAAGTATTATGAAACTAGGAAGGGATGTTTTTTTAACCCAAGCATACAATGAGGATGTGGAAAAAAATTTGTGATTGTTTTATTTATCTAAAAATAATTTGTAACAAATTTTTTATAGAATCTTAAACAAATGAATTATTAAATGCTTATATTTCTTCCCATAGCTTTCTAGGATTGTAGAGAAATAAACACTTGTTGAAAAACATTCAATGGTTGCTTCACCTACAACTTTTAAAGTCTTCAAGAAAGATATGATGAATAATGCACTTAATCCATAATACTTTTATTATTATGGTTCACCAAAATGGTATTTTGACAAACATCCTTTAATATTAAAGTGTTAGGCTTACAGATATCTCATAAAAATATGAAACTTGGCTTTAGTACAAGCTAGTCAGTTTTCTATGTAAAATTGTCAACTTTCAGATGAAATAGATAAAACTTTACCTTTAGTGTCCTTCCCACTCTTTTTGCTATTCTCAGCAACAGCAACTAAATTTTAGATAAACACGTAGCTTCCTGAGACCACTGAAAGAAGCACTTACCAGATGACTACAAAACTTTCCTAATCAAGGATGAGAACTTTCAATTCTTATGAACCCTGAAGAAGTCTCATAAAAATTAACATCCAGTTTCAGCACATTCAATAAATAAATACTGAAGAAATTAAAACTGACTGTTTTTCAGATCCAGCATCTAATATCAAGTTCAATTCACTGTGAAAATGAAAGGCTCAGAAAACCCAGATGGGAGCATGTTGGGTTTCCTTTTCCACTTGAAACTAACTTGTTTACCCTGCTGTTGGCTTTGGAGTTGCTAAATTAATTATCAATTTTTTTGTTTGTTTTGGAAACTAAAAACCCACTTGCTCAGTCCTATCAAAGCTGACTACAGATAATGCTATATTTAAGCCTAAAGATAATTAGCCCCTCTATCTGTCCAATCTTTCTAATCCCAACAATAGAAAGTTAAAATAGATGCTAAGAAGGCACAAATGGGGTCACAGACCCATTTTTCCCCTGACATTCCTCTTCTCTTTTCCTTACCTTACAACCTGTGCAACTCTAATCCAGAGAAGGGAACAGGGAAGTAGTTAGGCACTTTGTTCCCTTTCCAATATTGAAGTAGAGAATGAAAATGCATTATGGTCCCCAAAAGACATCAAAGGTACTAAAATGCTCATCTTAACACTGGAATTCTTGAGCATACATTTTTTCTAGCAACTCACAAACACGTACTAGAACCACACATTGCTATCTTAAAGAGAGGAGGAGGGAGCCGTGGATGCCAGACGAGCCAAAGTGTCAAAGTGTTAAGGACAAAGTGTCTTGACAGAGAAACACGTGGTGTTATTGGGTGATACATGAATTTCCCACAAGCCGTTGGGTGTTAAGAAAAGACCAACACATCAAAGGTGCTGTAACAGTCTAAGCAGTCTAAACTCAAGAATTTAGATAGCAAAATTTGTATTGTAAAGAACCTAAATTAATGTGTTCCTGGATGCCAAATGGTAAGGAAAGGCTCATCTCCCAAGCCAGTGGGGCTCTGGGAGAAGGGGACAATGCAAAGTCCTACCTGGTAGGCATCAGGAATGTTGACCGTTTCTCCATGCTCCCCGACATAGCCAATGATGCCTTTGCCCCAGGGGACCTGCACCTCATTTGAGTTCTCTGTGCTGCTGCAAGGCAGCAGAGGGGTTCCTGCATGCACATCGAAGAATTTGGAGACCAGACTCTTCTTGCCAGCAGCTGCTCCTTCCACTAGGAAAAGAGAGCAGCGGTCAGCGTCCACCATAAGGCAGACAAAGATGAGAATCTTGTAGCTCAGGCTGGTGAGGTCAAGGTCATTGGAGATATCTTTGACCAATTCCAGAAAGAACTGACGTTCATTATGTTTTTTCAGGTGGCACTTGTAGTCGATGGCTGTAGGGGGATACTGAGGCAGATTCACTCTCGATTCCAGCAGCGCACTGAGAATATGGGCTGTGGTTGGCGGCAGGGAGCTGGCCTTCCGGAGAAGTGCCCTCCGTCGTACACTGCTCAGGGGTTCCTGAGCCCGGGAGGTCACCTGTTCATCGTAGGTCCTGTTCACGTGGATGGCCTTGGAGCGGGCAAAACTCTTCCTTAGCTCTTTCTGAGAAGCTCTCCGCTGCAGGTTCGCATCGCCCCTGCTGCCACTGGCCCAGCTGGGACTCAGGGGAACCCCACCACAGTCCCCGCCACCAGGAAGGGGCTGACTGTTGGCAGAGGCATTTGGTCCAGTGCCACCACCAACGCTGCTGCCACCTCTGCCAGTGCTGTGAGCCAAGCTGCTGGTACCAGCCAAAGAGGGCCTTGGACCTGAAGTGCCCTGACCCTGACTGTGCCTCTGCAGCCACTTTTCAACCATCTCTTGCTTCCCCTTCCGTATCAAGTAATCTTCAAACAACTCTGGGTGCCTGTCCAGGAAAGTTTCCACCTCCCCAAAGTCCAGGAGGGAGGCTGCCATGGTCCCAGACAGCTTTCCTAGCCTGTCTACACGTGAGCCAAATGTTTACCTGCCGCGAGGCTTCTAGCTGTTCCTGCACATGTTTAGCCCCACCAGTAAGTATTCCCAGTTTGGTGCCACCTTCTCTGGAGATTATTCCCAGCAGTGGAATCACGGCCGGGAGGTGCCCCTTCCTTCTCTCACGACCCCACCCCCGGTCCTGCTACTCCGGCTTCGCACAGGTGCTGGTCACTGAGCTGCTGCCGCTGCCCCGGCTCCTGCGCTGGAAACCGAAGCTATCTCTGCTCCTGTTCTGGCTGCCGCCGCGGCCGCTGAAACTGCTGCTGTAACTGGATAAGTGGACCACTGTGACAGGGAGGTAGGGCAGGACACGCCCCTGAGTGAGGCACGGAGCCTAGAGGGAGGAGAGGGGAGGGGGGAGCAGCGGACGCCACACCAGCCAAAGTCCACGGCCCAGGCTGCCAAGCGGTTCCTGGAAGAGTCTCTGGACTGCTGGAATCAGCGCCTGGGTACACGACTCCTGACTGGAACAAGATTAGAAGAGGAAAGCGCACCTTGTTCCTTCCCCGCTTCTTGCTCCCTTACCTCCCCAACCCTGCCTACTCACCGCAGCTTAATCCTTTCGCGTTTCAAGGAGGCCCCAGCGGGAGCCCAGTGGGAGCCCGAAACAGTGCGTTGATGTTTTGCAGGGATCGGAACCGAAGCGGATTCCGAGGATTCGAGGGTGTCGTTCACCCTCAGAGACAGGCAGGGTTGTTTTTCTGGGATATGACTGTGGATTGTTGGTTCCCAGGATACTTGGGACTTGCTAACACTGCCCAGTGTCTTGTGGGTGTTCAGTAAATATTAATGGAATTGCATTTCCCCGAAAATAGCAAATAAAGTTTCCTATGAGAGCAATTCATGGCTTTAACCAAATTCATGTACCTGGGGCAGGGGTAGATTACATGGAGGAAGGGTGTGAAACACAGTACAGTCATCCTTCTTTGTCCAGAAGAGTTTACCAGGTAGAGGAAGCAAGTCCTGGAGAGTTCGGAGTATTTAATAAACAGCTGGGAGCCCAGCTAAGAGACAGTAAATCAAGCTTAGAATCCTGGTAATTTGGAGCTCCTGATTTCCAAGAAGGTGAGTGGTGATCAAGATTTAAGAAGAAAAACAATGTTTAGCATAATGCCTGGCACATAAAAAGTGCCCAGTAAATGTTAGCTGTTGTATTACTTATTATTATTATTCTTATTATTCTACGGTAATGGTGTATGGAAACTTTACTGCATGTAGCCACATCTCTGGTCCCTTGAGTAATTTCTCAGTAAAGATGGTTAGTGATATGCTGAAATTGGCTTATAAGGACTCACAAGCGCCTAGTTTAAAATCTCTTTCCAGTTCTGTGTTCAGTCACATCATGTTGCTTGCAATCAGTCACAATGGGAATGTTTATACCATGGAAACAGCAAATGTTATGTGTCAGGGTTTTTTTAAATGGACTGCTAATTGTTAAATATATACCGATATGCAGTGGAAACTATCTAAATGTCCATCAGTTGAGGAATAGACAAATAAAACGTGATATAGCCATACAATGGAATATTACTCAACCATATAATGGAATGAAGCACTGATATGTGCTACTACTCGAAAGAAGCTTAAAAATATCATGCAAAGTGAAGAAACCACTCACAAATACCCACAAATTATAAAATTTCATTTGTAGAAAATGTCCAGAATAGACAAATCCATACAGACAGAAAATAGATTACTTTCTAGATGGAGAGGAAGGGGGTGACTGCTAATGTGTATGAGTTTTTTGGGGGGTAGGGTAATAAAAGTGTTCTAAATTCATTATGGTGATAGTTGCACAATCTGAATATGCTAAAATTCATTGAATTGCATGTTTAATTGAATGAATTGTATGGTAAGTTATATTTCAATAAAGCTGTTATAAGACAACAACAACAAAGAACATTTACTATCCCGAGACTTGCTATAAAAGAGCAGCAGTGTTGTGTATGGAAACAAGAAAAGCACTGAGGAGAGATCTGATGGAAACAAAGCAACGAGCTTCTCAGGGAAGGGAGAGAAGTAGACCAACCCTGGGCTTCCTAGAAACAGAAAGCTTAATAAAGACACTTCCTTAATTCCATCTTCCATGTATTCATTATACATGCACTTGTTAAGCATTTACCGTGTTCCAGGCTCTGGGGACAAAAGATCAAGACAAAACCTGTGCTTTTGACTGAAGAGCTCAGTCTACAGTACCAAGAGAAGTGAGAATAGAGAAGAATACCGGGAAGGATGGGGAAAACAATAGAAGAGAAATCCAAACAAGTGAATTCAACATTTTGGGCTTGGTTTTGAATCGGCTGTAGCCATGTTCTCTGCTTGGTATCTGAGATCACTAAGTTAATGGTTGAGGAAGAAAATTAGAAAGTGACAAACAGCACATATAAGATAGTCCAGAGGGCTGTGATGGAGGGCTGATACTAAGATGTGTGTTGGTGTGACCACACTGCCATTTATCTTCACTCTCAATCTGCAGAATGGTATGTGTATTAGTCACAGTTTTAACATGAAACAGCACACTCAAATTAAATTCCAAGAATATTAATTTACAAAGGAACCAATTACAAAGGTAGAATATAGATAAACCACAGGGATAGTGAAGACACCTGGGACTCACAGCAGTAGAGAAGTTACCACTCCTACAGACGAGGGGAAAAGGAGGGAAAAGTTACTTGGACTTGGAAGGAAGGAGGACTGGATAATGAGCACTGCCTTGAGGGGAGCAGTGAAAGCCCGGCAAACGGCATCAACAGGCCAGGTGTGTTGCTCATGCCTGTAACCCCAGCACTTCGGGAGGCTAAGGTGGGCAGATTACTTGAGTCAGGAGTTCAAGGCAAGCCTGGCCAACGTGGTAAAATCCTGTCTCTACTAAAAAGACAAAAAATTAGCTGAATGTAGTGGCACACACCTGTAATCCCAGCTACTCAAAAGGCTGAGGTAGGAGAATTGCTTGAACCTGGGAGGTGGAGGTTGCAGTGAACCAAGATCGTGCCACTGCACTCCAGCTGGGCAACAGAGTGAGAGTCTGTCTCAGAAAAAAAAAAGGCATCAACAGCTTAGGCTAACTTCAAAGGAGGGATATTAGCAATAAATATTAATAATAGCTTGAACTGACTCTTTTCTCTCCCTCCTGTCAGTGACCAGATATAAGCTAGAAGGTACTGGAGCCTGTTGATAGCTCATCCTACTGGGAAAAGAGTAGGAGGGGACACAGGAGGATCTATATAAGATCTGGAGGGGTGAAAGGGAGATACTTGGTTCTACATGGAAACTTGAAGAGGTCCCTTTAGGAAATAATGGAAGAGGCCCCATTAGGAAAGAAAGGCCCAATGTCCTTGAAAGGGTTCCCTTGGTAAATAAAATAAAAATACATTTCCCTGTAGGAAATATAAACCCCAAATAATTTTCTGTGTAATTCTGTCCTCTTCTGCTTATCTGCTAATTCCATCAAAACTGTCTATAATACACTCTATGACAACAACTGCAGTCAATAGAGCCCCCTCAGGCACAAGCTATCATACCTGAAAGGGGATGACATTGTGAAGATACTCTGCAGTCAATAGAATCCCCCAGGGCACTATCACACCTGGAAAAGGACGATACTGTGAAGACAGATCACTCAGAGCAAGGAAGAGGCTCTGCAGGCTTCTCCATCTACCCTTTCTCATCTCTATCAAGTTGTAAATATTGTCCAAGTAGCCTCTTATGAAAGAAGATAAAGGAGTCGCCCTATTTGTATTTTTCAATAAGGGCTTCCTTTTTAATCTAAGTATTCATTTCTTTATCATGGCCAATTGGCATTTATTGAGTACTTTCAATATGCAAAACATTGGCTGGCAGGAAAGATAACTTTTGTCATTCCAAAGGGGACCCATTACATTCTAGTACTGGATGGAAACTTATAGTTTATCGAATACTACACTTTCCACATTTTGCTAATGGTTACATTGAAATCTAGAGCAGACACATAACTCCTCCAAAGTCATCTGCCAGGCCAACCTCTGATCCACTCATGGTTCCATCCCACTCTTACCAACATCTTGTAACTTGGTATTAACCTCTTAAAGCCCAATCAACTTCTGTTTCCTAAGTTTGCCTCCTAATCATTCGTCTCCTAAAACAGATATTACTGACTTTCACTGTGTGACCAGTGAGCATGATCAAATATGTAAAGGGCAGCTGAAAGCCTGGTTATTTAAAACAACAATTTTCCTATTCACAGTTCTGTAGGATAACTAGTGGTTCTTCTCTTTCACTTGGTATTGGCTGAAGTCACTCATGTGGCTGCATTCAGCTGGCAGCTGGACTAAGCTCAAAGGTCCAGGAAGGCCTCTTGTACGTATCTAGGGCCTCAGTGCTGATTTGTGGCTGAGGCTACTCAGTTCTTCTCCAAGAGGCCTCTTTCCACATTGTAGCTCATTTTCCAGGTCTTCTTTACGTGGCTTCTGTTTCCAGTAGGATAACCTGTCCTTCATTACAATATGGCAGCTGGGTTTCAAGAGCAGGTGTTGCAAGAGGGTAAGTCCAATATGCAAGAGTCTATTACGTCTGTATAATACTCGTTAATGTCTCACTGGTCAAAGCCAATTATATAGCCAAGTGCAACATCAGTTGAGAGAGGGAAAGGGACATGAATACTCACAGGTACGGTTCACAGGGATCCCCTCATCTAACAACTCACACACTGTCTCCTGAACCCCAGAGCCCCCCTTCTTTTTTCTTTTCTTTCTCTTTCTTTCTTTTCTTTCTTTCTTTCGTGAGACAGAGTCTCACTCCACTTCCCAGAAAAGTGCAGTGGCATGATTATGCGACTACTGCAAAATATTTGCTCCTGAATGTTTCACAAGCATGTCAAATTTCTCATCTCCAAGATCACTCTCATTCCTGCCCACCTGAAATCACTCAATCCTGTATATTTTACTGTAGAAATTTCTGTTTAAATACAGCTGTCTTCTCCAAGCCTGCTTCATTAATTCAAAGCCTTTGTTATCTGTCCACTCTCTACCAACCAGTATCACCTTCCACATAACAAATGTAAAAATGGCATGTAATGGGTCAAACTGCAGCTCCACAAAGATATGTCCATCAAAATCTGTGAAAGTCACCTTACTTGGAAGAGGGTCTTTGCAGATGTACTTAAGTTAAGGATCTCAAGATAAGATCATCCTGGATTTCGGGTAGGTTCTAAATCCAGTGATACTTTTCCTTATATGTACAAAAGAGAAGACACAGAGACACACAGAAGAGGAGGTGGTACGAAGACTGAGGTGCAGATGGAGTGATGGGTCTACAAGCCATGGAATATCAAGAATTATTGGAGGCCACCTCATTCTAGGAGAGAGGTATGAAACAGATTCCCTCAGAAAAAAAATAAATCTTCTCAATGCCTTGATTTTGGAGTTCTGGCCTCCAGAACTGTCAGGGAATAAATTTATGTTGTTTCAAGTCACCATGTTTGTGGTAATGTGTTACAGCAGCCCTAGGAAATAAATGCAAGAGCCTTCATCATTGTGCCTTGATTTTCTCACCTCCTGCCATAACTCTCCAAGCATTCTCCCCTTCTCTCTTCTGGGCTTCCACTTGAAATGCTCTTGTCCCCTTCCTTGCCTCTCAAACTTCTCTTTTCCATCAGCACCTATTTGAAATGTCACACATTTTATGTTTCCTGCTTCCCCAATAAAAAGCTGTGTTGTGTCCTATATGCAGTGTCCTGTTTCCACACATTTGGTCATCTATTTGCTACAAAACATTGAACACTTGGTGTTTATTCAACCCAAT